ATACACTCATGGAAAGGGAAAGGCTGTATGCTGGTAGCTAGAAGGCGGGCTTTCAGAATGTGCCCATTGGTTATTTAAATAATAATCTACTCCTAAGTGTTTCTGTGTACATATTGCCTCCCTCCAAAACACCCCATAAAAAATGGAATAGAAGCAAATACTGTTGAATGATTATGCATGGAGATTGCAATCATTGCAATGAAATGATGAGTGTAAAAGTGTTGTTCTCCCATGTAAACTATCATTCAATTCATGACTTAAAAAAAAAAATAGTGACTCTGTGTAAGATTTCCAAAGCTGTAAACCTTTGAGTGAGGGGTGAAAAAAATGGTGGACTAAGCAAAAAGGCTGTGAGACTCTCTGTAACAGAGATATGGAAAACAAGAAAAACAGATACAAAGGATAGTCCTGGGGCTCTGTCCTCCAGAGGAATAGATAGAAAAGTAGATCGAGTGTTTACTGTGAGACAGAGTTGAATAGACATGTCAAGAAACAAGGTTAATGACAAGAAGCAGCAGCCATCAGAAACTATGACAGTCATCTAGAAAATTCATGAAGGGCTTTAGAGATGAGAAAACATACTATGTGGCAAAAACCTACCTGTGACTCACAGGAACAAAGGTGCCATTTATCTGTTTGTTTATTTACTAGTTTCCAAACCAGTCAAAAACCCTGGGGAATCTCCAATTTTCCAGGCAGTCAGGGTAACTTGGAGGTTGTTAGCTGAGAGAAGAGCTTTATACAATAACCTCACTAGAGCAGGCTTGGATCCAAATCTGCAAAGTTGACCCTGGTCAGTCATGGATTGACTTTCATCACAAAAGGGAGTTGAACTGACATATGAGAAAAGAGCAAAACAAACAAACACACAAACAAAAAAACCAGAGGGGTGGAAAAGGAAAGGAAAAGAGGTGGGTAATCTATGTGAGCCCTCCCTCTGTATGCAGAGTGGCCAATTGTAATTCTGTCATGTCAGATGACTGTGAAAAAAAGAGACAAGTAGTTATTGAAGCACATCATCTATGACAGAGAGAAAATCACTGGCTTTCATTGCTCCCCACACCCCACTTTGTGGGCTTTTTTTTTTTTTTTTTTTTTTTCTTTTTTTTTTTTTTTTTTTTTTTTTTTTTTTTTTTTTTTTTTTTATTTTTTTTTTTTCAAGAAGGAATAACTTTCCTTCACCTAGTTCTTCTAGTATCCAGGATTCTTCTTTTGATCTTCCTTTATTTTTATTGTGGTAAAACTATGTACAACAATATGTACAGCAATTCAACAATGTCTACATGCATAATTCAGTGATATCAATTATTGTGTGGCAATTCTTGATAGTCTTTTCCGAATCATTCCACCACCATTACCATACACTTAATGCCTCCTAAACCAAAACTTCCTCTTTCCACTGGTTTGACCCACCTGGTAAAGAATAATTCAAAGCCTTCAGTTGCTCCTTGGAAACTCTATACAGGGTCATTATGAGTTGGAACTGACTTGATAGCACTTACCAATATTTGCTTGTCTCACATAAATGAGATCATACAATAGTTGCCGTTTTGTGACTGAGTTATTTCGCTTAGCACAGTGTTTTCTTGGTTCATCCATGTTGTTGTGTGCATCAGGACTTCAGTCTTCTTTATAGCTGAGTAATATTTCATTTTTTGTATATACTACATTTTTGATCCATTAATTTGTTGATGCATATTTGGTTGTATCCTCTCCTTTTGACTATTGTGAATGGTGTTGCAATGAACATTGGTGTGCGGATTTCTATTTGTGTTCCTGCTTCTACTTCTTCCAGATGCATGTCTAAGATTGGGATTGGCAGGTTATGTGAGAATTCTATTTTCAAATTCTCGAGGAACTGCCAAACTCTTGGTTTATACATTGTACCATTATACATTCCTAGTAGCAATGGATGAGGGTTCCTGTTTCTCCACTATAGCCCCAACACTTAATGGTTTCTAGGTTTTCATGTATTTGTTGGTCATTTGAATAGTCTCTTAATTAAAATGTCTGTTCCAATCTGCAAGAATATTTTCTTTTAGAAGGATCAGCAAAAGTTTGTTCCCTATGAGGGTTAGAGTAAAGATACCCCAAATGTGAGTTTTCCCCCAATATGTTATACTACTCCCTAATCCCTGATATCACACAGCATTCCTTTCCTCCCTCACATGTCAGGTTTCTGCTACATGATACAATGCCTCACAGAATTTACCAAGTGTCAAGGAAATGGCTCACAAAACTGTGAAGGTTGGAAATTCCCAAATTGGTAGTTTAGACATCAGTTTGGAGGATTCTCCTCAGGGACTGTTGTTGTTGTTAAATGCTATCAAGTTGGTTCCAACTAATAGTGACCCTGTATAGAATTTCCAAGGACTGGCTGATGGGTTTGAACTGCCAGTCTTGCAGTCTAGTGTTTATCCTACCGTGTCACACAAGGACTGTAGGAATCCAAATTGACAACAGACTGTGGATGCAAAAAGATGCAGGTCGTAGTAAATCAGGTCAGATGATAGGCCACAAGTCAGAGTGACGTGAGCCATACACAGGGTCCGCAGCAAGAGAGTGAACTTTGCCAAAACATTGCTATATATTGGACTCAGACCATACCCCCAAGGAACACTAAGAGTGATAACTTGAGTCACACCTTCTAGTCCTATACCTCTTAATCCTTGTTGCTGTTGTTGTTAGGTGTTAGATACAAACACATAATGACCCTATGTACAACAGAATGAGGTAATTCACAGTCCTATTCCATCCTCACAAATGTTATATTTGAACCCATTGTTACTGTTGCTTTGTCAATCCATCTCATTGAGAGTCTTCCTGTTTTTTGCTAACCCTCCATTTTTCAAAGCATGATATCCTTCTATATATATCCCTAACAAGATGTCCAAAGAATGAGAGACTAAGTCTTGACTTTCTTAATTCTAAGAAGCCGTCTTGTGGTACTTCTTCTAATACAGATTTATTTGGTCTTCTGGAAGTCCATGGTATTTTCAATATTCTTCTCAAATACCAAAATGCATGGATTCTTCTATGATCTTCTTTAGTCATTTTCAAACTTTCATGTGCACATGAAGGAATTGAAAATACCATCTCTTTGTTCAGCACACCTTAGTCCTCAAAGTGATATCTTTGTTCTTGAACACTTTAAAGAGTTCTTTGGCAGGAGATTTGCCTAATGCAATATACCATTTGATTTCTTGACTACTGCTTCCATGAACTTTGATTGTGGATCCAAGCAAAATGAAATCTTTGACAACTTCAGTCTTTTCTACATTTAATATGAAGTCATCCAACAGCTCTTCTCGTCTTCAGTCATTAGTGGTTAATGCATTATATCTGCTTTTTAGATGGTGTCTAAATTCAGGTGGGATATACTCAAGGTCATATTTTGGCTGTTGTGAACTTGTTTTAATTTCCTTCAGTTTCAGCCTGAACTTACATAAGAGCAACTGATGGTCTGTTCCACAGTCAGTCCTTAGCTTGATTTGGCTGATAATATGAAGCTTCTCCATCATCATTCCCACAGATGCAGGCAGTTTGATTCTTGTGTATCCCATCTGGTGAGGTTCACATGTATAGTCTCCTTTTATGTTGTCTTAAAAAAGGAATTTGCAATAAATAAGTCATTGATCTTGCGAAATTCTACCATGTACTCTCCAGCATCATTTCTATCACCTAGGCTGTATTTTCCAACTACTTATTTCTCCTCTTTGCTTCCAACTTTTAAATTCCAATTACCAGTAATTATAATGCATCTTGATAATGCATCTTGCATGTTTGATAATTTCAGATTGACAAAATTGGTAGAATTCTTCAATTTCATCATCACTGACTTTAGTGGTTGGTGCAGAGATTTGAATAATAGTGGTATTAACTGGTCTTCCTTGTAGGTGTATGTGTATCATCCTTTCACAGACAGCATTGTACTTCAAGATAGATCTTGAATTGTTCTTTTGATGATGAATGCTGCACCAATCCTCCTTAGTTTGTCATTCTTGGCATAATAAACCATGATTATCTGATCAAAAGCTATCAAAATTTAAACATTACTTTCTTGGTTTTGAAAATCTCCAATTTTCCTATATTTATATTTCATAATTCCATGTTCTTATTATTAATTGGTATTTGTAATTTTTTTTCTCATTTTGAATTGTGTCCCATTAGCAGCTTTGCTCCATTCATATAATTATCAATTCTACGTACAGAGGCAACTTTCCCAGTCCTATTTTTGAAGTTTTAACAACCTGAAGGATTCATCTTCTAACAATATGTCACGTAATGTTCTGCATTTATTCATAAACTTTTCACTTAGAAGTAGTCTGCCTCTCCTTCTTACTAGTCTGTGTTATACTGGAAGCAAGCTGTCCACCATGGGTGACCCTGCTGGTGTTTAAATATTTAAAATACAAACAACAAACAATTTAACTATATTATCAGTTGAGTTTAATTTGTCTACTTCCTAAGTTACTGTATATTTAAAGACATTTCTTATCGATATGTTCTTGTTATGTGCCCTTGAGTCAGTTTTGACTAATAACAAACATATACACAGCAGACAGAACAAACCATTGCTCAATCCTGTACCATAGTCACAGTTGTTATGTTTTAGCCCATTGTTGCTGCCACTGTGTCATTCTATCTTGTTGGGCATCCTCCATTTTTTCATTAAACTTAGGCTTTACCGAGCATGATGTCCACCTGCAGGGACTGGTCCCGCTTGACAACATGTCAAAGTACAAGAGACCAACACTTGCCATTCTCTCTTCTGAGGAACATCTAGCTGTACTTCTTCCAAGACATATTTGTTTCTTCATTAAGTAGTTCATGGTACTTTGCATTAGTCTTTGCCTACAATATAATTCAGATGTGTCAGTTCTTCCAGAGTCTTCCTTATTCCTTTTCCAATTTTTACATGCATATGAGTCAGGCACACCTTAGTCCTAAACTGGTATCTTTGCCTGTCACCACTTTAAAGAGATCTTGTGCAGCATATTTGCCTAATGCAATATGTAATTTCATTTCTTGACTGCTGCTTCCATGAGTGTTGATTGTGGATACAAGCAAAATGAAGTCTTTGGCCACTTTAGTCTTTTTCCATTAATAATTATGTTATTTATTGGTGGTGCTGCTGGATAATGCACTGGACCACAAGGTTGGTTTGAAACGCAAGGTCGGCAATTCAAACCTGCCAGCTGTTCCTCAGAATCAATAGATAGAGTTGCTATGAGTTGGAACACACAAAATGACACTTAACAACAGCAACATTTATTGGTCTAGTTGTGAGGATTTTTGTTTTCTTTACATTGAAGTGCAATCCAGACTAAAAGCTGTGGTCTTTGATCTTCATCAGTAAGTATTTTAAGTCCTCTTAGCTTTCACCATGCAAAGTTGTATTATCTGCATATTGAAGATTATTAATGAGTTTTCCTCTAATCATGATGCCATGTTATTTTTCAAATACTTGAGCTTCTTGCATTATTTTTTCAGAATACTAATGAGTGTAATGAAAGGATAGAAGCTAACATACCTTTCCTGATTTTAAACCATCCCCTTGTTCTGTGTACACGTTCTCCTTGTTTGTTCTGTTAGAATGGCTACCTCTTGGTCTATACACAGGTTCCTCATGAGCACAATTAAGTGTTTTGGAAAGCCTACTCTTCTCAATGTTATCCATAGTTTGTTATGGTGCACACAGTTGAATGCCTTGGCATAGTCAGTAAAGCACAAGTAAACTTCATTCTGGATTTCTCTGGATTTAGCCAAGATCCATCTGACGTCAGCAGTGATATCTATAGTTCCATGTAATCTTCTGAGTTTGTCTTGAATTTCTGGTGGCCATTTGAATGTCTTTTTTTGGTGCAATTTATATTCAAGTTCCATGTACATTTTATGATTGAGTTGTCTTTTTGCTGTTTATCAGAGTTTTTTTTTTATAGAAAGAGATTGGTAGATTCTTGTCAGATATGTTTTCCAAAGATACTCTCCCAAACAGTAACTTGTATTTTATTTTTTGCTAAGGTCTTTTGACCAACAAAACATTTCTAATTTTTATGAAGTCCCATTTATTTATTTTCTTGTTTGTACTTTTATTATCATTATTAGATAATGCATTGTTGAAAGTTAGACTTGTTATCTGTATAGTTTTGAACTATTCTTGGACTTTTATATGAGGTACATATTAATAGAAGATCATCAGTTTGAAATTGACTCTTTTTTCC